CTGAGGAATGTGTAGGCGTGTGGGAGTGGATTGTTTGCGTAGAAGGACTACTTCAAACCCAAGACCATCAGATGCCAAAGTAATGAGTCTGCTGCGGTCCTTGCCCTCATCCCAGCCTTCCACTCTTTTCTGTTGTTGTTGTTAATCCTCACCTGCGGGTATTTTTCATATTTTTTTCCAGTGGTTTTTAGAGAATGGAAGAGACAGAGGAGGAGAGAGAGAGAGAAACATCCATGTGAGACAGATACGTCGATTGGTTGCCTCCCACACGACCCCGACCAGGGCAGGGGATCGAAGTATGTGTCCTTGGCCAGGAATCGGACGGCGGGCTGACGCTCTAACCGCCGAGCCAAACCAGCCGGGGCCAGCCGTCCACTCTGGCAGTGAAATACATGCTGTCCCGGCCACAAGTATACTCCGTGCGGCCCCTGAAGCTGCAGAATACCAGGCTAAGAGAGCACTTAGAAATCATCCCATCTGACTACCCCATTCACGGACGGGGAGACTGAGGCACGAGAGCAGATGTGAGCTGCTTGAGATCCCTCGGTTCATGGACTCGCACAGTAAGGGGTTCAACCACTGTCCCGAAGATAACGAGAGTCCCCGGGGCAGGGGCACGGGCAGGGGCAGGGGTGTGGCACGGCCAGGTGCTACCCAGAGCAACCACCCTGCCAGGGCTCAGAGGTGGAAGGATCTGAGGGACAGGTATTGGGGGACAGGTGGACCAAGGAGGAGGCTGAACAGGAAGCCGATCTGGAGGTGATGCTGCCAAGTCACGGGGTGGAGATGGTTTCAACCACAGTCTCAATCACGGAATGTGTGGAATGTGGGCTGCTTTTTTTCCTTTTAATTGGTTGCAAGTTTAGAACGGAATTTTGCTTGTTTTTTTTGTTTTTGTTTTTCTTTTCTTTTCATTAATGTAATCGTCTCCCACGCAGCCTTGTGCACGCAAAGGGCCGGCAGTTCGGAGCCACGTGTACCTGAGCGTGAATCTCCGCCCTACCAGCCATCAGCTGCATCGCCTTACCTCCCCGAGCCTCAGTTTCCCAACCGGTAAAATGTGGAACATAACACCTGCCTCACAGGGTCCTCGGTGATGAGAGATGGTGCTTGGGAAGCGCCTGGCACAGTGTCTGAAACATAGTATCCGTTTTCTTATTCCTTCTTAATGTGCTTCTTGACTGTTCGGGGCATTATCTGGACCATCAGTCTCTAGGAGGACAGTGGGAGGTTGTTCTCCCCGGCGTGGTCCGTTTCCACGGTTTACTTGGTAACTCTGGGCCCTGGAAGTCACTTGGAGTGGGAGCGGGAGGTGCGGCAGGGTCGGGGAGGGTGGAGAGCAGAGATGGGTGGGATTGGGGAGATGAGGGAACAAATACAGCTCAAGAAATGGGAGACCTGAGAGGCTGAAAGGCCCGCCCACCTCTCCTCCCTTTTCTCTTATCCCCCAATCTGCCCGGCTGCCTCCTGCTTCCCGCTCTGCACCTGGCGGTGGATCCCGGATCCCGGCCTTAGACCGCCTGGTCCCCAGCTGGTGCCGCTTCACGGCCCTGCAATCTGACCCCAGGCCTGTCTCTAGTTTTTCCACCCCGGCCTGTTGCTCCCTCCTGTCCCAGTTCCCAGGGCCTGGACGCAAACCCCCTCCGGGCCATCAGACCTTCCCCACCTGGTGTGAAGGTGGCCCCTTACTCCGCTCACCGCCGGCTCAGTCTCTCATCAGAAACGGTGGGGACAGCTGGGGCCCTGGGCCTGCCTGCTCCGAGGGCCTCTCAGCTTTCCAGCCTCCACCATCGCAGCCCGTTTCCGCTGCCTGGAACATCCGAGTCTGGAAAAGAAGAGCTTCTGTCGTGGAAGGAGCAGGAGTGGTCTGGTCCGGAGGTGTCACGAGGTGCCAGTTATGCTCAGTGGGGACCTGCCTACAGACTCTAAAGCTGCAGCTGGGCTCCAGAGGAAGGAGGGCCATGATCGAGGAGCACTGGCTGCCGCGCAGGGGTGCCCTCGATTAGCCTCGACGTCTGCCATTAGTGCAGCTTTATGAATGCCACATGTTACCATCCGTGATCTGGTCCAACTTTTCAGAGCGAAGGGTGCTGAAAAGAATTAATAAATAAAATGTTTACGCATACTTCCCAAGTGTGGAGGGCGGCTGAGCCAAGGTCTCTCGTCCCTGTGGTGTTTGCATGGGTCTCCCAGGAGCCTTTAGTCCCTGGCCCCCTGTTGACCCTGCGTGCAGGAAAGTCTCACGCAGAAGCATCTGCCCAAGGTCTCCGGTAAGTCCTGTGTGCTGGCAAAGCCAGGCAGGAGCCTATCGAGCCGAGGGCAAGAATGTATCAACAGTCTTGACCTGAGCTCTGAGGCAGATGAGAAAACTTTTAAATTCCCCCCCCCCCCCAACCCAACTGGCTACAAAATAAACTTGCTGAGTTAGCTCAGAGTCACTGTTTCTCCACCAGAGAGCAGGGTCCCACCTGGCCCCAGCTTTTCTATTGTGTCTCTGTGTCCTTCTTCGTCTCCCGTCGCCCCTCCAGGTCTGGTTTGACGGGCCGCACAGGTGGATGCACCAAGCATCATCTCTCATCACCTGAGAAGGACCCTGTGAGGCAGGTGTTATGTTCCACATTTGGCCGATTAGGAAACTGAGGCTCGGAGAGGTTAAGAAATGCAGCTGATGGTTGGTGCAGCCGACATTCATAAAAGTCCAGGGTGATGTTTTCCCAGGAGACCATGTCAGAGGATGCCTGGGCCCAAGATAAAATAAAGCTGACTCCTGTTATGGAAAAAATATTTCCTTTCCTATCCTTTCGTTTTCCTGCGAGAAGGAAGACTGTTTGGTGCTGGTCCGCCTTCGATAGCTTCCCAACGATTAGTAATCTGCCCTTTATTTATTTTTATTTTTATTCATTGATTTGAGAGAGAGAGAGACCGGTTTGTTGTTCCACTTATTTATGTATTCATTTGTTTGTTCATTGGCTGCTTTCTGTATGTGCCCTGACCAAGGATCAAACCCGCAACCTTGGTGTATCGGGATGGTGCTCTAACCAGCTGAGCTCCCTGGCCAGGGCGGTACTCTCCCCTTAAAACTAAGAGACAGAGCTGATTTCCAGCAGGCAATGAATTAAAACTTTTCATTGTATTTACTTTTTTACAGTTACCCTTTATTCATAGTGAATATCAGTTTTCCATTTATAGAAGCAATATGAAGACTTTCCTTTAGCCCTGGCCAGTTTGGCTCAGCGGTTGAGCGTCGGCCTGCGGACCAGAGAGTCCCAGGTTTGGTTCTCGCTAGGGGCACAGTCCACAAAAAAAAAAAAAAAGAGAGAGAGAGACTTTCCCTTAAATTAAAGTATTTAATAAAAAATGTGAGTTGACTTGAAAAATATTAACAAAAACAAAGATGGTACACACAGATCGTTAAAAATATATATAACACAAATGACCAAGTCTTGAGAAATGCAAAGTGGAAACAGGCCCTCAGAGAGGTTTCCTAGTTCACCCAGGACACACAGCAAAGGTCCAGGCAGAGCTGGGGTCTGACACTCGGGCCAGGACTGAGGAGTCTCGTGGCCCAGGACATGGGGCGTCCTCGGCAGGAGGTAGGAAGTGAGACTGCAGGGTAATTAAGCTACTTTATGGTAAGAATTCAAGACTCGGGCGACTTCAGAAAAGGGGAGTTTATTTGGGACATACAGAATCCTGACTGAAGGGCCAGTAGCCGCCTCAGCAGCAGAAGTCTTTGTGTCAGAAGCCGGGGCTCCAGTCCTCTCTGGCCTTTCCCGGTGCCTTCTCCATGTGTGTCTGCTTCCCTCCCTCCTTGAGTTTAAGTGCCTGAGACCGAGAGAAGTCTGATTGGCCAGCACAGGACTGGCCTCCCTGATTGGACAGAGCTGCTGTTCTGAACCACCTCATAGGGTGCTGGTCAGCCTGTGCATGAGTTTGTGTCAAGTGTTCAGTCAGCTGGGAGCAGAGCTATCAATACAGGCACTTAACTGCCTGCTCGGTGGCAAAGAACAGGTGCATGCCTTCCCAAGACTCCTTGTCAAGGAAGAAGGTTGTGACAGACATCACAGGTGTGATCAGTGCCTGTAACCGAGGGAAGAATAAGTGGAGGGGTGGTGGGGAGCCCTGAGAAGGAGGTGGGAGGGGCTGAAGTGCCATGTAAGGGGATGAGCGTCTTGCTGGAGCGGGCATGGGGAACCTAGTGGGCATGGGGCGGCGCCTCTCTGAGTTCTGACCTCAGAAGGGTGAGGGTGCCCAGGGTGCTCCCGGGGGGCGGAGGGCTCCCCCTGCGAGAAGGCAGCTGGGCACAGGTAGCCCAGGCATGGTGGTACCAGACAGTCCATTAACTCATCTGGAGGCACAACGGGGTGCCATGTGTGCCATGTCAAGTGCAGTGAACGGAGCTGCCCTCCTGGAGGAGGTGTGCCAGCCCTGGGCTCCGGAAGAGACCCCTGCAGTGGAGGGCGGAGTAGGAGCGCCCAGGAGTGGGCTCTGTGACAGCGCCAGGACCTGCCACCAGGAGGGGTCTCTGTCCAGCAGCATGCCTATGACTCTGAAGCCATTGTGGAAGGATCCAGCCAGTGTCCGCTTTGTTGAAGGATTTCTGTCCATATTTGGGCCACAGCATTAAGGACACAGCAGCCAAGCCTTTTGAGGTCACAGGAGATCCCAAAGGGAAGTGACAGGCCTCTTTATCCAGACTCCTTGTGACCCTCAGAATTTGTCCCTGTGGCACTGACTCTCCAGGGAGGCAGGTTTCCCTCCAGGGGAGCTGCACCCACACTTGAAGGATAAAGGGAGTTTGACGCTTGAGTGGAATGAGCGGGCGCTCCAGGCATAGCAGACGGACGGCGTGTGCCCAGTGGGGGCAGAGGGAGCTCCAGGGGTTCAGGAGGACTGCTGGGAGGGCTCCAGGGGGCTGGCCCAATGTGAGGCTGGAGGGCAAGGGCCAGGCCGAGAAGTGAGGACAGTGGGGGTCACGGCAGGATTTGAAACAAGGACAGCACAGCCATATTAGCCACATTTGTGTTTGGGGATGAGCAATCGGCTGCCCCCTGGAGGGGAGATGAGGGGGTGAGACTGGGCAGGAAGCCCAGCAGGAGGCCAGGGTGCAGACCCCTGGAGAGCCTGGAGTGGAGCCACGCTTCAGGGGCAAACCCAGGCTATCCCCGTGGTTGATGGTGGGGAATCCAAGCGCGCCCGCCACAGTTCCTGGTGTGGGCGGTAAGTAGGATCAGGGAGCAGCAACTGAGGTTCGGCAGTGAAGGACCAAGTGTGCAGGGCCTGGTGGGGGCCATCTGGGCAAAGATGCCCATGGGGCAGCTGGACACCAAGTATCTCATCAGTGGACAAGCCCTGAAGACAGAGTCCTCAGGGGCCTGGGGCAACAGTGAACAGCCACCGCCTCCACCCTGGCCGTCTGTCTACGCTAAGTGAGCTGGGTCCTGATCCTGGAGCTCTTGGAGGGACAGGTAGGCATCAGTGTTCAGGGTCAGGCGAGAGGCAGGGGCCCTGCCCTGGCATTGCCCAGGAGAGCTGGCCCAGGGGAAGCTGGCTCCCTCCCCAGGGCCAGGGCCAGGCGCCTCCTCTCCTGCACCCTCCAGGGGCGACTGGAAACCCGCCAGCTCAGTGGCTCCCGGGGTGGGAGGCCATAGGGGCTGGGGGTCCCAGTCTTCGGGGACTCCCTCCTGCAGGGAGGGGGGCAGCCTGTCTTCACCAGCCCCAGTCTCCCCCAGGGCAGTGTTTGGGGGGCTCGAGCCACCGAGAAGACTGGGGGAGAAGAGCAGCAGACCATCCCTGGGGGGAAAGGTGCAGTAGGCATCGTCATCGTCTGGCAGAGGGGGCAGGGGCGGGAGGGGAGACCCCTCGGGCGCCCCGGGCCCACCCCCATCTGGCTCCTCGGCGCAGGGGTCATAGGTGAAGTACACCTGGCAGGCCTCGATCTCCAGCGCGTCCGGGAGGTGGAAGAAGAAGTAGCCTTGGTTGGTGAAGCAGCTGGTCAGCGAGTGGCCGCTGGTCTCGAGGGAGGGCGAGGGCCCCTTGTCCTGCTGCAGCAGGAGCAGCTGCGCGGCCTTCGTGCCCCTGTCCAGCACCTCCAGGGGCGAGATGTCGGGCGCCGGGCCGCTGGGGCTGAAGGAGGACGAGGGGAAGGGCGAGGACAGCCACTTCTGCCAGGAGACAGAGCAGGGGAGGGTGAGTGGGATGCCTCCTCCGGGTTCCCAGCAAAACTCCTAGCTCCTCCTCCTCCAGCAAGCTTCTGCAGGCCGCCCCTCGGGGAAGCCCTCCCTGACTGTTCCCCGAGACCCCGCAGCCAGTGGGCAGTCAGCCCAGCGCAGGCCTTCCTAGCTCACTGCAGGTGCCGGGGAATGTGCTGGCCCAGTGAGTGGCCGCCGACTGAGCACCTGCTATGAGCCTGGCGCTGGTCTAGGTACTGAGGACAGCAAAGGGTAGAATGTCAATGTCTGGGGCGGGGGGACCAGCCTGAGTGTTGAATCAACCAACCAGTGCGAGGCAGACATCCCAAGGGTGCATCCGGTTCACTGCACTGAGAGGCCCTGGCTCTGACCGCCCCGCCAGCCGCTAGAGCTGGGACCCAGGCTGCCTATCACACCGCCATGGAGACATCTCTGGTGGGGAACTAAGGGTCCCCCATTCGCTGATTCCTCCCAGTGCCCTGTGCCTCCCTTCCGCCCGCCCTCCCTCCACAGAGAGGGGAGCGTGCTCCTCAGAGCATTTCTCAGTTGCTGCAGAGCCCAGAGGGCCCTGGGCAGGAGGGAAACCGGGTTCCTCTCACTAGCTGTGTGACCCTGGGCAGGTCCCTGCACCTTTCTGAGCCTCAATTCCACAGCAGTCAGCTGTATCTTCCCTGCTTCCTCACTGTGGACCTGCAGGGAGCTGTAAAGTGATAAAATGAAGGTAGGGTGCAGCTGTACAGCAGAGATGTGGGGGCGGTGGGCCCCTCAGGGTGGTGTGAAGGGGGCCTCGGGTGGGTGCATTTGAGAACCCCAATAGTTCTCTGTCCTGGGAGCCCCTAGCAGCTGGACCACAGTCCCTAGAGCCCAGAGACCAGGCCTGATGGGCTCTCCCCTGCACTCCTGTGCCCGGCAAAGAGCCTGGGCGGCCTATCAATGTATTTCAGATGAATGAATGGACCAGTAGAGAGATGTCCTGTTTCTCCCCCCCAGAGCGAGTTTCTGGAGCTAAGCCAGGTGTTACACAGATGCACAGGCACACACATGTGCACTCATACCCCATACATATATATATGCACACATGCATGCACACACACCCACACACCACTCAACAAAATCTACCTCCGCCCCCAAAGCAGGAGTTTGTGTTACAGGAGAAAAACCCAAGAGAGTGAGACCCTAGGGCAGCGGTTCTCAACCTGTGGGTCGTGACCCCTTTGGGAGTCGAACGACCCTTTCACAGGGGTCGCCTAAGATTATCGGGAAACAAAATTACAGTTATGAAGTAGCAACGAAAATAATTTAAGGTTGGGGGTCACCACAACATGAGGCGCTGTATTAAAGGGCCGCGGCTTCAGGAAGGCCGAGAACCACTGCTCTCGGGCAAACTGAGGATGGCAAGGAAGGGCGGCCAACCTGGACAGGGGACAGAGCGCGGGCCGCGTGGGTCCACAGAGGAAGTGGAGGGCAGAGCCAGGTGGCCGCACAGCCAGAGCAGAGGCCAGGCCTGCGGCCAGTGCTGGGGTGCCAGGCCTCCCTGGGCCCTCGGAGTGTGTGACCAGCCCCTTCCTGGGCCCAGGCCTCCGCCCACAATGCCCTGCAGCAGAGCTGGGGGCACAGGGAAGCCCCTCCTCCATGCACGCACACACGCACACACTCACGTGCACTCCCGGGTCCCATGGACAGGGCAGCAGGCTTATGGCCTTGCAGCTGGGGATCCCGGGACAGAGGGAGGAGCAGGCTTCTCACTCAGACACAGAGCGTGGGGGGTCTCTCTGGACCAGCCCCAGCCCCCAGCCGCATCTAGTGTCCCCAGGGACCCCTCCCTGCATCAGGCCTGGGGCAGGTGTCTAACGGGGGCTGATCTCGTGGGAAGCTGGGGTGGTTTGTAGCTCTCCAGGAAGGACCTCACTTGTACCACAAAATGCCGAGGCCCACAGAATCAGAAAGACTTTAGGCTGGAAGAGGACTGAGAGCACACCTAGTCCAGCCCCACGCGGGTCCAGCGTGGGGATCCCGTCAGCCATGTTTTGACACATAGGCAAGACCTGCTTGCCTGCCTTGGTTGATGGGAAGCTCACTTCCTTTAGGGCTGAAGGAGGAGTTTTAAGTTGCTGCATCCCTCCACACTGAGAGCACTGCAGGTAAGATACCCCAGTCTTTGGGATACCCCAGAGTTTTCCGACGAAGGGGCCCTGACTGGCCCCGATAGAGGACTCCAAAGCCAGCTCGTGAGTCTGACCCAGGGCCTTTCAGCCCCCCAGCACTCCTGACCCCCATCACCCCACCTCATCCCCTCCCCCCCAGATCTGGGGAGCCTGCGGTAGGGGGTGGGGAGGGTGGCAGAGGCAACCCACCACATTCCCCCTCCTTCCTGAAGTGGGTGGACTGGGGGAGGGGCCGGCAACTTTGGCCTCAGTTACTCCTGTACAGGCCAGCACTCTGCAAATGAACCTTTCTCATGGCCAGAGGTGACCAGAGGACTTGCGAGGTCTGCGATGAATTGTGGGGACTCTCTGCAGGGGCAGAGGGAGCGTTATTCACCCAGAAAGGTCCCCTCTCTGTGGTGTGGGGAGAACGTGTACCCCACAGGGCAGAGTGAACCGGGAGGGGGGAGTTAGGCCAGAGGCCAGATGGTGGGGCTCCGAGTCAGGGCTGTCATGGTGGCTCTGCCTCTGCACTGCCCAAGGGCACTTGGTTTTGGGGTGGGGTGGGGGTGGGGCTGAATCCCAGCCCATGCTCTGCTTGCCAAGACCTGCTCAGTCAATAGACCGGTGGCAGGAATCCTCGCGAGGGCGCCTTGAGCATGACTGTGGGCCAGGCAATGTTCTCGGGGCCCTCACATAGTAACACAATGTTCCTCCCCATTTTACAGGTGGGCAAACTGGGCACCGAGATGTTCTATAACTTGCCCACAGTCACACAGCCAGGAGGCGGTGGAGCAGGAGGCGGTGGAGCCAGGATGAGAACCAGCAGCCTGCCTCAGACGGGAGGTGCCATTCAGCCTGAGAACGCGGGGGGAGCTGGGGGAAGGGGCCCGCGCCCCCCAGAGGCGGCTCCCTGCGGCATCGGTCTGCTCTCCGTGCAGAAGCCGCTATCCCGGTACCGCCTCCCACCTGCTGGCCCGCTGCCCCGTGCTGGCCCGCCCAGTCAGCTGCCCGCTTCTGCCCTCCCCTTCCGCACTCCTACCTGGAAATCTCCTCCGTGCTCTGAGCTCAGCTGTGAAAAGAACTCCGAGGGATCTGGGATGTGACACTTCAGGACCTTCTTCAACCTGAACGGGGGAGGGAGCGAGGGGAGGAGGGTGAGCAGGGCGGGGGCCACGGGGTTCTGCCATCAGCCCACAGCCCTGAGGGCAGAGCACGGACCCGCTCTATGTCCGATCGTGTATTCGGTCAACGTTCATCGAATGTCCGCTAAGGGAGGACATTGTGCTGGGTGCTGGAACACAAGGCCGGCCGATGCAAGGTCCCTGCTCTCGAGGAGCTGACATTCTCACGAGGAGACAGACACAAACCAAGTGTGCAGCATGACCGCTCGCACTGGACACACGGCAGTGCGCTATGGGACAGGGGTGCGGGGTGGGGACCACACGAGCCAGAGGACAGAGATGGCTGGAGCAGAGCGAACCAGGAGGAGGGGGTCAGGACAGAGGCTGGATGGCGGGGCTCCTTGTCAGGCTGTCATGGACGGTGGTTCAGGCTGTGCACTGCCCAAGGGCCCCCAGTTAGGGGAGAGGTGAGTGGGGGCCGAATTCCAAGCTGAGTGCTCCACCATCAGTAGGTATCTGTGCTAAAACGTATGCCACAACCTCGTGACCCCCGAAAGCCTGTCTGCTGCCCCATGCCCAGGCACAAGCCAGCCCTTCCCCCGCTTCTGGTCTCCAGCCACAACCACCTCCCTGCGCGCTCAGTTTTTGAAATGTCCTCCCTCCTTCCCACCCAGGGCCTTTGCACATGCTGTTTTCTCTGCTCTCCCCATCTGCAGGCCCCCTGAGCTCCTCCTTCAGATTTCAAGGGAATCATCGCTTCCTCCAGGCAGTCCTCCGCCCCCTGCCACCCCTCAGCTGAGGTTCCTCTCCCTGTAGTCTATTCCAATGCACCCAGGACCTTCCTTCCCCTTCCTAACCACGGCATGCCAGTATGTATGCGTATGACTAACCAGTACCCACCTTCCCACTAGGAAGATGGGACCATGGGTTGTGGCCAGCCCTTGAGTTCCCAGAGCTCAGCGCCATGCCTGGCACAGAGCTGGGCTCAGGAAATAAAGGAACAAATGAATGAATGCCCAGACCCAGACAGCCAGGAACACCTACACACACAATAGCTAGCGCGCACACACACACCCCCCCGAGTCCTGAGAGTATTGCTCCAGGCGCCCCCTAGGGCTCTCTCTCCCCTGTTCCTTCATTCTGGTTCCATCTTTGGAGATGGATCACAGGGAAAGGCCAGGTGTTGGCAGGGAAGACTCCTGGGAGGACAGAGGGAGCACTAGTGTGTCCGAGCAGGGGCTCAGATCTGACAGTGACCTGGCAGGAGGTGTGTGTGTCAGCAGGAGCAGGCAAGACAGACGGGGAAGCCAGCCCTCTTACCATGGCCTGAGGTACCGGCAGTTGATCAGCAGGTAGACGAGGATCATGAAGCCAATGGCACCGCTGAGGCCCACGATGATGTGGCCCAGTGAAGGCGCTGCTCACGGTGGGTGGAGAAGCAGGGAGCGGGGTCAGGGAAGTGCCTGGCTCACCCAGATCCCCCAGCATCCCCCCACCTCCGACGTGTGCTGGGGGCAGGCTGATCTCCGACCAAGGCCTTCACCGCATCCCAGCTGGCCTGCTGTGTGCCAGGCGGACATGGGGCCCCGTGCGCCTCCGTCACAGCGCTGTCGTGGTACCCACCCACAGGGGGGGCTGAGAGGTGGAGCAGCCCGCCCCGCCCCTGGAAGGAACCTGGGGTTTGAGATTTCAGGATGGAGAAAGTGAAAGCCTCTCTGGCCTCCGCACCAGCTCACAAGGCTACCAGCAAATCCCATCCCCTCCCCTCCCCGCGTCCCTGTTCCCATCTGGAAAATGGGCACAATTATGCCCCCGCTGCCCACACTGCGGGGTCACGTGAAGTGAGCTCATGGTGACAGACGAGCTCTGAGGCCTCGGCCCAGGCTCCCGACCGGCTGTCCCCAGAGCCGTACCCAGCCACCTCTTCCCGTCAGCTCGTCTTACCCTCAGCCCTCGTCCTGAAGGCCAGCGACCGGCTGTCCCCAGAGCCGTACCCAGCCACCTCTTCCCGTCAGCTCCGTCTTACCCTCAGCCCTCGTCCTGAAGGCCAGCGACCGGCTGTCCCCAGAGCCATACCCAGCCACCTCTTCCCGTCAGCCCGTCTTACCCTCAGCCCTCGTCCTGAAGGCCAGCGGCCGGCTGTCCCCAGAGCCGTACCCAGCCACCTCTTCCCGTCAGCCCGTCTTACCCTCAGCCCTCGTCCTGAAGGCCAGCGGCCGGCTGTCCCCAGAGCCGTACCCAGCCACCTCTTCCCGTCAGCCCGTCTTACCCTCAGCCCTCGTCCTGAAGGCCAGCGGCCGGCTGTCCCCAGAGCCATACCCAGCCACCTCTTCCCGTCAGCCCGTCTTACCCTCAGCCCTCGTCCTGAAGGCCAGCGGCTGGCTCCAGGGGCTCCAGGCCGTGTGGGCGCCTCGCTGGGGCCTGACCCGCACCTGCAGCTCATAGCGGGTGCCTGAAGCGAGTGTCTCCAGGCAGATCCACTGCTGGTTCTGCTTGAGGGTCAGCAGGGAGGCCTCCTGGGGCAGACAATACTGTCAGAGCAAAGGGGCCCCCACTGCCCACCTCACCTCCCACGGCAGGGCCACCCAGGAGGCTGAGCAAAGCAGGGCCTTTCTTTCTCCCCTCTAGGTGCCCTCTCCCCTCCACCCGAACCCCAAACTTCGAAAAGGCTCCCTGACCACCCAGTTGCCTGGGCCCAAACCCCAGGGTCATCCTTAACCCCTTCCTTTCCTTCATCCCCTCGTCCAGAGCCATCTGCCAATCAACTGGCTCCACCTCCAGCACTTGGCTCCACCTCCAGGACCCATTCCGGGCCCTTCCCTTCCCTCCTCTGCTCCCTGCTCGGGGTCTGGGCTCCCACCGCCTCTCAGGCCCCAGGCTGGTCTCCTGCTTCCACCACGTTCTCTATAGTCTGTTCTCTGCACGACCAGAGAGAGGGGTTTTCCCACAGACCTCTCCCATCTCTGCATCCTCCTTTTACTTCTGCGGGTCCCCACCACACCCAGGCCACGGGCCGCCTTTGCAGTGGCCCCTTGCTCCGTTTTGGAAAATCCTCCCAGCTCCTCCTTGACCCTCAGCTCTCAGAGCAGCCTTTCGTGGGCACCTCTCCAGGGAAGTAGCCTGTCCCAGTCCCTCTTAGAAGTGGTATTGCGTTTCATTTTCTTGATCCCTTTTATCAATATCCGATAGTCTTCCGTTTCTGTGTTTGCCGACTGTCTGCCTCCCCTGCCTGTCCCCACACATACACGGGAGCTTCCTGGAAGCGGGAAACCTGCCAGTCTGGCCCTCCACTCTCTCCCCAGCATCCAACACGTGGTAGGTATTCAGTGCGTGTTTGGTGAGTGACTGAGTGAGTGAGTACAGGAGTGAGTGAATGAATAAGCACAGCCCCTGTGGATCTGGTCCACGCTGGTGGGAAGAGCAGAAAGGTGGTGTACCAGGGCCCTGAAATCTCAGGGGAAGTCGCCTCTCTTGGCTATGTAAACCTTGCCCTGGACTCTGCCACCAGCTGGAACCCCTAGGTCGGCAAGGGCACGTGGAGGGAGGGAGAGGCAGGAGCAGGCAGGGGCCTCCGGGGCGCTGCTGTGCCTTAGCCGAGGTGAAGGGTGCACAGGGAGACCGGCACAGGGAGCAGGAAGGGTGCACAGGGAGGTGAAGGGTGCACAGGGAGCGGGAAGGGTGCACAGGGAGACCGGCGCAGGAGCGGGAAGGGTGCACAGGGAGGTGAAGGGTGCGCAGGGAGCGGGAAGCAGGGCAGGTCGGACTGGGCCTCCTACTCACCTCCCAGCTGTGGCCCGGGGACCTTGTCCGGGCCTCGAACTCCAGGTACGTTTTAATGTAGTGGGAGGACTGGGAGACGCTCCAGGTTATGTTGCACCTGTGGGTCCCTATGTGGGTGACTTGCAGGGAGTTAGGGGCCATCAGGCGAACTAGAGGAGTAGGAAGGAGGGGAGAGCAAGCTTTGGGGGTGCTGGATCATGATGCTGAGATGGCAAATCCGAGATATGCTCCCACCTCCCTCTTTGCACCTGCTGTCCCTCCCTCCTGGCGTGCCCTTCCCTCGGAAACCCACAGGGCATCATTGGGATGTCCCCACTCAGGGAAGCCCTCCCCAGGCACCCGCCTGTGCCCCACCCACTTCACTTGTCTCCCTAGCACCCTCGCCACCTGACATAGTGAAGCCGTTTGGGTTCTTTGTTTATTTTCGTTCTCCCTCACCAGTCTGTGAGCTGGCTACAGGCAGGGACTCTGTTCTCGAATGTGTCCTTGGTTTCTGAAACCTCACCTGGCACGTAATAGGCACTTAATTAAATATCTGCTGAATGGATGAGCCAGGGCAGCCTTTCTCTGCACCCAGAAACGGTCTAAGGGTTTTACATGGGCCGTCTCATTCATTTCATTTCATCTCATTAATCTTGCATAACTAGAAAATTTTATGATTCTGAAGTTAAATTGATCTGTTTTAGAATTCTGAGACTTGGCAGAACTCCATGAAAAACAATAAGCGAATGTTTTCTGGGCCGGCGCTAAGCCGTTTCTAAGTCTTGGCTTATAGACTCCTTACAACAACCATGTGCAGCAGACAACTGATTATCCCCATTTTACAGATGAGGAAACTGAGCCCAGACATGTCAAGTGGTCTGCCAGTCAGATTACACTCAGTTAGGCAGGGCTGCACTTAGAACCCTGCCTGGATCCTACCCTCTGCCCCACCTCTTCCCTAGAGATGGCCTCCAGGTCTGGAGGGAGGCAGGAAGGGCCGGGGGTGGGGCCAGGCACTCGGTCATTCCACAGACCTCCTCAGAGCACCTGCTAGATTAGACCTGGTGCTGAGTACTCAGAATGGAGACAGGAAGGCAGAAGCTCTGCCTTCACGGAACTCACAGCCCAGTGAGGGAGACAGACCCATAGTCAGGCAGTGATGACCCAGGACATAAACACCCTGGAAGGGGAGGTACAAAGGGCTGGGAGAGTCTGGGAAGGCCTCCTGGAGGAGGTGATTCTTCACGGAGCCTTGAAGGGGGAGTGGCAATTTTCCGGGTGGGAAGAGCATTCCAGGCCGTGTGACCAGCATGTACAAGGGCTCAGAGGCGTGGATGGGCAAGTCACGTTCGGAGAGCTGGCCTTTGGTGTGGCAGGAACAGAGGCCACACGAGGAGGAAGCCGGGTTCCCAAGTGGCCCTGAGTGAGTGCCAGGGTGAGGAGCCGGGACCTCATCCCAGGGTCGCGGCAGTGAACGTGTCCGACGTAGGTGTGGAAGTTAATGGAGAGACTGGAACAGTGTGATCCCAGAGAGAAAACAGAAAGAGGTACCCACCCCCAGCCTGAATTCTCACTCACGGTTTTCAAAGGGCTTGAAGTTCTGGGCCAGGGCCATCCTCCACCCGTCCCCATCGGGGCATATCACTTCCAACGAGAGGATGTCTGCTGCGGTCAGCATCTGAGACTGCAAGGGAAGGGGGTCAGAGATGTTGCTGGCAGCCGCTGGGGTCGGGAGGGGAGGCCATCAGGATGAGGTGGGGGAGGGGGAGGGCAGGAGTGGGGGCCGAGACTGCAGTGCAGGTGGGGCCCCACCACACAGCCTCACCGTCTAAGGTCGGGTTGGCAAACTTTTTCTGCAAAGGGTCAGATGACAGATATTTTTGGCTTGGCAGGTGATAGGGTCTCTGTTTTAACTGCTCAACTCTGTATACTCAACAGGTAAGAGAATGGTTGTGGCCGTGTGCCAATAAAACTTTATTTACAAAAACGGACAGCAGCCCGGTTTTGGCCCATGGGCTACAGTAGTTTGTCAACCCCTGATCTAAAGTGAAGTGAGTTGCCTTGGGAGGGAGTTCCCAGTCACAAGAGGTGTGCAGGCGGATGAGTCCCCAAGAGGGTCAGGGCTGGAACTATACCTGTGGAAGTGTGATGCCTCCCCTCCCCCCTCCCACCCCCAGCCCCTGACTTTTCTGGAAGGAACAGCCAGGTAGTAAGCATCTGTGGGCAGGCACTGCTCAGGGGCTTCAGCCATTTCTCCGGCTGATTCTCAGCAGTCCAGCCCCGTCCTGCAGGTGAGACACCTGAGGCTCGGACAGGTGAAGGGACTTGCCCAACGTCACGCACCTGGTCCCCAGGGGAACCCAGATTCAAACCTAGGCTCGGTGTCCACAGTCCCACAGAGACTGCAGCCCCGCCCGGCCCGCCGTGCCTGACTGCGGGCTACCAAGTGAGCAGCGTGTGCCCCCCCCTGTCTCCCCCCTGTGCAGAGGCAGCCTGCAGAAGGGAGGCCTGGCGCGGGCTCTGTTAGGGTCTGTGCTCTGGGCCCAGGGTGCCCTTTGTGTGTCCAGGACCCAGGGCACAGTCCTCTGACCTGCTGCAGGCCCACTATGTGCGAACTCGAGCCTGATCATCAGCGTTCCCAGGGCTGGGAGCAACACTTCCTCCCTCTGTACCCCAAGGACCTGCCCGCGCCTTCTTCCAGCTCCCATGGGGGCCAGATTTTCCCAGGTGACACTAGTATTATCATTATTATTATTATTGCTGTTATTGTGGTTGTGAAGATGCCAATAACACATTCTGCCGAGCACTGAGCCTGTGTCAGGCATTCTTCTACCATTGACACACGTTGTCTTGTTGCATTTTCTCCCCATCCACGGGCCAGGCACCATTACTGTCTCGTCCTGCAGCACAGAGGCTTAGGGACGGGCCTAAGGCCACCCCGCGAGGAAAGCCACAGCGAGGTGGGACCAGGACTGGAAGCCGGACCACCTGCTGCGCGCAGACCGGACTGACGCTGCGCCTTCCTCCGCTGCAGGGTCCGTGCCCGTCCCCGCTCCCTCCCGCCTCCGAGACGCAGATAACTTCCTGACGGCTGGACATGGGTCTGGGCGGCCCTGGTGCCCGCCACTGCCAAGGACAGTTTGCCAGGCAAGAATTAGATGCACGCCACCCGGACACGGCCACGAGCCCTTCCAGAGGCAGCCCGGTGCCCTGCGAAAGGCCGGCTGGGGTCGGCAGACCTGGCTGCAACCCCAGCTGTGCCCCTCCCTGGGACCCACTGCGTCCCGTCCAGGGCTTGCTCTACTCTGGGCGGCGGCACGTGCTGTACACTTGGATCAGCCCTGCGGGTAGGCGCCATTATCAGTCCCATTTTATAGACGGGGACACGGGCACAGGAGCCGCCCCATGCCACCCCGCTGGCATACAGTGGGGCCAGGGCCGGAACCCAGGCCGTCCGGTTCCGGAATCCACATACCCGACCCCACACCACCCTGCACTCGGGAAGACCCCGCCAGAGTCCGCTGTGTGGTTATTACTAGCACTGGGGTGCTCTCCCCACTTGAGGAGGAGGGCGGAAGTGTCACAGGACCCCTACGCATGAGGAGGACAGTGGAGCAGAGGCAGGGTGCGAGCCTCCTGCATCCAGCACCGGGGCAGGCCTGCGTGAGGCCCTCCTGCTGGGTCCCGCCCTGGGCAGCCCACTCCACCCAGCTTGCTGGGCCGGCTCCTCTCTAGAAGGACACCCGTGGCACCCGCCCTTTCCCTGGCCCGCTCCCCTCAGCACAGATACTCACATCTGGGGTTCCAAGGATCAGGTTGCAGGACCAGGATGCCGGCCCCGCTGGGAGCAGCTCGCAGGATTTGTTCCAGGACCTTTCAAAGTCAAATAACCTGCTTAGAAATTCCTGCCTAGGGACCCCAGAGCCGGCCCTTAGGATGGTCCCCCTGCAGTGAGGATGCTCTATGCCAACCGCACGGGGTGCCCGTTCCCCTGTCTGCTCTACCTCCGCTCATGAGCACTCCCCACCCCAGCCTGGCCCGCAGAGCCAGAGTGACCGAGAAGCAAACCCGCTCAGGACACAGCCTCCGCACCGAAAGCCCTGCGAAGTCTCCCCACGAGGCTTGACTGGGCCTTGGGAGCCTCGTGGAATCACCACCGCGGGGGCCTTTGCCACTGTCACCAGGATGTTTGCATGTGGCAGTCCCCTCGTCAGCTCCCACCCAGTCCCCAAGTTCCCCAACCACTCCCAAGGCCCCTGTCCCCACAGCTGCTGCAGGGGTCTCTCAAAATCAGGTTACTCCCAAAGCTTGGGGAGCCGCTGTTCTTCCCCCCTTGCCTCTAAGTTCAAGTGCAGCCTCAGTCTACCTGGTCCAGCTCATCTCCAGCCTGGACCCCTACACCCCACTCTCACCCAGAGGAGTCGAAATATCTGGCTCCTACACGCCCCAGACGCCTGTGATACCAAGAGCCTGTGGGTCCCATGAGTTCAAGATTCTCAAAGGACAGACGTCTTGGAGTCTGTCAGTTAGGGTTCCAAGAGTGTCAACGTCAGCGGCTGTAAGGTCCCCCGTCCTGAGACTGCAGCTGGCCAGCCAGCCCCACACTCACCGTCTGTTGGGCTGGGCGTGGATGCGGCAGGGTGCAGCCTGCAGGCCCCCATCCTGGCTCCAGACACAGGAGATGTTGGCTCTCGAGTTATAGAAGCACGTGAGCTGGGAATTGTCTGCCAGCAAGACGAGGTGTGAGAGCTGCCTGCAGGGGCCCGCTGCCCTCCCCTGGGGCCCCCCCACCACCTCTGCTCCCCGCACCCTCAGCCTACTAGATCAGGAGCCCAACAACCCTGACAGACAGAGAAGGGGTTAGTGGCCCTCTTCAGAGAGGACACAATTGAACCCAAGCCTCAAGGTCCCCACAGGCAGGCTGAGGCAGGGCAGGGAGGAGATGCCAGTAGCTTGGAGAGGCATGTGGGTGCAGTGCGGGCCGCACAGAGGGCGAGGGCGAAGACGGACACCTGATCTCTGGCCCCACTGCTCCTGCCTTCGTCCTCCCTGCCTCCTGTCCTGGACGGGGGGCCTTCTGCCAAGAAGCAGGGTCCGGGAGGGCTCTAGAAGGGCCTTGGCCTCCTTCTTAAGGGAAAGCACAGCTGTCCAGATGCCAGGATCCTCACCATTCACTGCTGTGGATGCCCGAGCGATGGCCAGGGGCAGGAGGAAGACGAGGAGGGACAGACACCAGGACACAGCAGGAGCTGCCATCACATCCACAGGTGGGAGCCGGGGAAGGGAGCCCTGGGGGAGGAAGAGGGGAGAGAGCACAGGTGAAAACCCACCCGCCTGCTCAGGGGTGCAGGCCTGCCCTCCACCATGCCACTGTCCAGCCTCAGGGCCTTTGCACCTGCTGGTCTCTGCCCCACGCATGCTCACTCCCTGCCTTCAGGAACTCAGGGACCCACACGTTGTCATTGCTGTGTTCTCTGAGTAAGCTCCGCCCCTTGTTCAGAACTGGAGAAACCGAGGCCCAGGAGAGGGAAAGGTGTGCTCACGTCCTCCTAGGGAGGCCAGCACAGAGCTGGGATGGGAGCCCATCTCCTCTCGACCCTGCTGCCCCGAGACACTACCACCACTGGTCCAGGGGTCGCTACAGGCCAGGCTCTGTCTGAAACTCCAATCGCAGCCATAGGGCGTTTGTTGGAGATACTCTCATGATCCTGTCTGCAGAGGGGGAGCAGGCACAGCTGCCAAGAGGCAGGTGTGGGCCTGAGTCAGGGCGGCTGCCAGAGCCCAGGAGGCCCCCCTCCCCCGCCGTGACTTCTCTGTGTCTTCCCACCCACGGATGCAGTTCACAAGATCAATAAACACATGCTGATCACCTCCTAACGGTACCCGAGGTGCGTGCTGAGCGCTGACGCTCACCCAGAGCTCTGGTGCACCGGCTCAACTTAGCTGCCCCGCAGCTGGGGCTTGGGGGTGCTTGTACTACCCCCTACACAGACGAGCAAAGCAAGGCTCTAAGGCGTTAACCCGGCCAAGTTCATGTGTGCAGAAGAGGCAGAGCTGGGATCCAGTTCCCACGCACGCCCCAAGGCGCGCTCTCTCACGCCATTTCACCCGGCCCAGCCCGGCCCAGACGCTGGTCCCAGAGGTAAAGCCAATGGGCCCCCTGCCCCAGGGAGGCACAGGCCAGTTGGTGGCATGAGGGCTGATGTGGAAAGTGGCCCAGAGAGGCACCTGTGGGCTCTTCTGTGCCCGGCCCACCATCTCCACCAAAGGATGAACTCCCCAGGGTAGGGCTGGTTGCCCCCTTTGGGCCCTCCAAATATTACAGGGCACAGGGTTGGGGCCCCAAAGGGTACAGAGCCCAGTGAAAGGGCTCTCCCAGCAAGCCCCACTGTTCCCCTTAGTCACTCCATCACCACCCTGGGGCACAGGCACCGTCAATCCCCTGGAGGGTGTCACCTGGGGCCAGGCAGGCAACCCCATCCCCAGGACAGACTGTACAGAGCCCCAGGTGCGAGGAGGTGGGGGCAAAGGCGTGCAAGACTGCAGGAGGGTCAGGGCCAACCACAGCCCCAGCAGCATGGTCTAGAGCTCCCGGCCGCCCGAGCCCAAGGACACAGCAACATACAGCAAGAGGGCCAAGTGCACAGGAGGAGGAGGAGAGACAGACGCCATGACAGAGCAGGAGAGTGGAGTGTGCCAGAGGGGTGGGGGCTGGGCGCTCCTAGCAGTGTCTGAGCTGCACCATCATGCAGAAGAGGAAACTGAGTCTCAGTTTAAGAAACCTGCTCCAGGCACAGAACAAGGAAGAGGCCCAGCCTCAGGGAGGGCAAGTCAGACCTTGGAGCCCCAGGCACCTCTGTCCAGGGTTCGCACACACACCCACAAGTCCCTCAGGACTGCAGGGCCCTTCGCACCGACTGACTCATTAGGTCCCGACTCAGTAGGTCCCCGCCACAGCCCTGGGAGGCGAGTGTCATGGGCTTTTTTTTGATAGATGCCAACAATGACACACAGACTGCCCAGGGGCTGAACTCAAAGCAGGTCATCTGATTTCAAGTTAGAAGAAGCCACTGATAACGACAGTGAGGGTGATGGCAAGGAGTTTGAGCACGATGACGGTGACTAATACGCAGCTCCCACTGCCCGGCACTGTCGTTAGCACTTTGCATATATTACCTCACCCACTCCCCGCCACAGCCCTCTGCGCAGCTACAGTTGTGACCTCTTTGCTCAAATGAGGGGACTGAGGCACACAGCAGCGAGCCTCTTGTTCAGGCTCCGGTCGGGTGCGGTAGAGGCTCCAAGGGGCAGATACTGTGCAATGTGGGGTTTGGGGGGCTGGAAAGAGTGTGAAGCAGGAGCTCAGTAGCCAGAGATGAACGCCACTGACCTCTGTACTTGACGAAGACTGCCTTCCCTCGCCCCTCTGACACACACACACACACACTCTCTCTCTCTCACACACACTCACACTCACACACCCTCTCTCTCACACACACTCACACACTAACTCACTCACACTCACACACTCACACACACACTGTCTCACGCTCACATACATACACTCTCTCACACTCTCTCACACACTCACACACACTCACACACTCTCACGCACACTCACATACACACACTCACACTCTCTCACACACATACACACTCACACACTCTCTCACACACTTACACACTCACGCACACATTCACACTCACATACTCACACACACTCTCACGCGCTTACACACTCTCACACACTCACACTCACACACTCACACACACACACACTCTCACACTGACACACACACTCACACACACACACACACTCTCACACACTCTCACACACACTCACACAGGGCTCACTCTTGCTGTTTCGCTCCAGGCAGCATCTCCCCAGTAGGCCTGGGACGCCGGCTGTGGGGAAGGAGGGGCCTGAGGATGGATCTGCTCCCCAGCAGCCCCATCCCACAGTGCTCCCAGCAGTAAGCACAGGAGCCCGGGCCCCAGGGAGAGAGACAGCATGCCTTCCCGGCAGCCCCAGAGAGGGGGCCCTTCTCCCCAGGAGTGCCAGGAGACACTACTGACCTGCCCAGTCACACAGCCAAGTAAAGGACCAATCCAGACTTGAGCCCCGGAGACCTCCCAGCACCCCCACTTCACAGCCCCCCTCGCCCCACAAGCCTCCTCCGCAGCACTTGCCAAGTGGAGCCTCCCCCGGGGGCCATCCCTGTGACCTTCACTTCCAGCCCCCCTGGGGCCGGTGGGCGGGAGCCCCGAGGGAGCCACTGGTACCTGGGGACCGGCAGGGCAGAGTGAGGGCCGATGGCACATCACCTGGGGGAGACATGGGGCTTCGGCAAGCTCTCTCGGGTTCTCTCCGCCGCGGCGACCTCAGCCATCTCCCCGGGGCCCTGCTGGCTCTGGAGACTGCGGCGATGGGGGCAGCAGACTGAAATCCCAGGGCCGCCCACTTCCTGTGCAGAGGCTGGAGGGCACGGCCAGGCTGGGGGGGCGGGGAGATGGGGCTGCTGAGAAAGCCTGAAAGTCCTGAAGGCAGGGCCCTGATAAGATCTTCCTCCTCCGCTGGGGCGGGGCGGGCGGGGGTGTGTGTCAGTTCGGAGGTGATGCTCTTAGACAGACACCTTGCTGCACACAGGGGCCGGGGCAAACCCCTTCTCTTCCCTCCTACACCACCCCACCCCATCCCACACAGGCCACCTCAAGCCTCTGACACCTTCATCTGGTCACACATACCCCCTCTGACACCCAGGCCGTACACAAACCTGTCCCTGCCCTTCCGACTGGCACCAGACCCGTCTCTGTGACCTCCCCCTCCCTCCGCTCCCAGGAAGCCCCTTACCCACTGCAGCATTGTCAGGTGACTCTTGGGGGCTTTACAAACAGTTTGATGGTCACTCATTGAACATTCTAGAACCTTCCTCTCAAGTCATGGTTTTTAGCCTTTTTCCCCTCCTTTTTTGAGGGGAACGGGCTCAACTCGGGGATTTTTTAAATGATGAAAATGTACAGACCCCTCTTTAGAAAAGTGCATGTTTATTAATATGGTTTCCCAGGCCCAGCAACCCTGTGAGGTTGCATCCAGAGTCCTAACGGGCAGTTCAGGCCCTGGCCGGCCAGCCCAGTTGGTTAGAGCGTCGTTCCCAGTCTAGGAGGTTGTGGTTCGATCCCCGGTCAGGGCATGTGCAAGAGTCAACCAATGAAGGCATAAATACACGGAACAAATCGATCTCTCTCAAAGTAATAAATAAAAAATGTTAAAAATTAACTTTTAAGAAGCAGCTCCACTCTCTCCCTTCCTCTGGATTTTAATAGCCCTGCTTGTGAGTGGCTGTCTGTTCGGAAGAAGGGAAGAAGGGGAGGGCGAGGGGAGGGCGGGCAGCTCTGCAGAGCCCCTGACTGCAGGGCAGCAGGAAAGCAAGGGAAAGGCCCCCAGAAGAGGGTCAGCCCAGCTCCTGAGCGGGAGCGGTGCAGGAAGACCAGGCCCAAGGTGCCTGGGAGCAGTGACCCTGCCTCTCTGTGCTAGCAAAAGGCTAACAATTTCTGTGGGTCTGTCTGTCAAGAAGGCTAACAGCCCGGCCGGTGTGGCTCAGGGGTTGAGCGTCGACCCAGCACCAAGAGGTCCCGGTGTGATTCCCGGTCAGGGCACATGCCCAGGTTGTGGGCGCGATCCCCAGTGGGGGGCATGCAGGAGGCGGCCAATCGATGTTCTCTCTCATCGATGTCTCTATCTCTCTCCCTCTCCCTTCCTCTCTCTTTAAGGTCAATAAAGAAAAATTATTTTTTTTTAAAAAAAAACTGTTTTGAAAGGCTAACAATGGCCCTGAGCGCAGACAGCAGCTGCGGTGAAGGCCAGTCCTCTGCACCCCCGCACGGCTCCCTGGCTGCAGGAGAGGGTGCTCACCGCCACCTCGGGGAGGCGGAAACCAGCCGCGGCACACTTCTGGAAACTTCTCAAGAAACCAGGAACACTGGCCCTTCTGGGAAAGAAGCCCAGGTAAGCAAGGGTCGGAAGGCTGTTTTTCACTGTAGACCCTTTTGTACGGCAAGAATGTAGTTCCTAGCCCCAAATCCATGAATTCAGTTAAAACTTAAAAACACAAATAAAGAAAAAATACATTCCCAGGTGGAGCAAGAGCTTGGAATAAGCAGCCTCTGCCAGCAGCCCTGCCCATGGACGGGGACGGCACTGGCCTGCCCTGCGTGTCGTGCCCGAGGCTCTTCCTCCTCCTCTACCCCTTTCCTTCTTTCATTCACTCGGCAAATATTGCTGAGCACCCAAGATGTCCCAGCGGCCCAGCCAGGTGCAGAGGAGCCTGGTGACAGGCACAGGCTACACAGGACCAGGGGAGGGAAGGGAGGTGTCTCTAATCAGCCAGATGCCCCAGTTGGGGGAGTCATATGAGGCTGTTGGAACTAAAGCGAGGAAGGGGCCAGCCCCCACACTCATCACCCCCATCCCAGGCCCAGTGGGTCTTGCTTTTGCCAAGGGGCTTAGGCCAGGGCATCTCAGGTGGGCGCTACTGCACTGTGAGAACCTCAGCACTGCAGTCTTCCCCTCCCCTACCTAAACCTCAGGGGGCACAGCAGAGAGAAGGTGGGAATGTGTCCCCACTCCCTGCTGGGCATCTGCTAGACTGCACATCCCAGCCTCCCTTGCAGCTAGATGGGACCATGAACTGAGTCTGGCCAGTGGGAGGTGGGTGGAAGTGATTCCGTTTACTCCCAGCCCTGAACACCCTTCCCTTTGGTCCTCCTCAGTCTCTTCATCTCTCCTCCCCTCTCTCCCCCACCCTCTTCTCCTCTTTGTCCCCCCATCCGACCTCCCCTGCAAGAAGCCACTGGAGCAATGTGAAGCCTGGATGGTCCACGCGGGGCTGTGACATGTTAAAAATAAATAAACTTCCATCGTGTTGGGCCTCTGAGGTGTGGAGGTTTCCACAGCTACTGGGCATTAACCGACTAATACAGAGGGTGCCCCAGGGAAGGGGGTGACGAACGACATGCCAGGCTCGGACCCCAGGCTGGGGAGGTGAGCAGGTGCACAGAGAAGTGCTTTGCGTGGCCCTCAGCCCTGTCTCAGTGCCTTGGTCTCCCCCAGGCCAGGTGCACAGCGGCCCCCTGACTGTCCTCCCTGTTTCCAGCTCTGACCCCTTCCGGTCTGTTCTCCACCAAGGACAATCCTTCCCAGACCAAATCAGGTCATTTCACTGCGCCACCCCCTTTCAACCCTTCCTGGAATTCCCAGGGCGTCTATTATAAAATCTACAGTCTTCATCTTGGCCTTAACGTCCCACATGAGCGGGCCCTGTCGTCATCTCTGAACTTCCTGCCAGCTCAAGCTTTGTTGAAGGGCAGCAAGCATGCCAAGCTCTCCATGCCCGGGGGCTTTTCACATGCTCATCCCTGCCGGCAGCTGGCTACCGAGCAGCCCTGATCGGGGGAAGGGCAGTCATCAGAATAGGACCACAGTTGTTCAGTGATGATTCACCTTACTAACTATAGATAAGAGAGTGCGTACAGACCCTGGGAAACTGGAGGATGTGCTGTAAGAAGGAAAACAGGGCTGTAAAAAGATAAGATGCCTTAGGGCCCAGATGGTCCATTCCTCAGAAAAGAAAATGCAATTTGGGAACAGACAAAGGACAGGACACACCTTGATTTAGTTGCTGTGCCTGAGCCCTGACCCCCTCCAGAAGTTTGCTTCAGGAATGTTGACCATTCTCTGGTCCCAGGAACAGGCTGAGCTGTTTTAAGATCATAGAAAATTAACTGCCTTGCTATCGGACTTCAAGATCCTGGCAGGAGCCCTGGCCAGTTTGGCCCAGCAATTGGGGCATCGGCCTGCGGACCAGAGAGTGCTGGGTTTAGTTTCTGCTAGGGACACATACCAAAAGAAAAAGAAAAAAAGAGAAAGATCCTGGCAGGAGACACACGGACCACGGACCCTACAGCCCTTCCCTTGCCCCCTCCCCCCTTGCACACAGCCCCTTCCTACTTATCCCTATCTAATCAGCTAACTCATAGGAGAGGTCAGAGCAGAATTTCCAGGAGGACCTGCTGCTCTCTCCATACTGCCAGCATTGTTGGAATAAACGCTTACCTATGATTCAACCCTGTCTCTGCTTAATTTGGCTCAAGTAGTGACAGGTGGCCTCGGACCCGTCCTGTGTCTGGTTTCAGCCCCATCCTCAGCATTTTACAAGCAAGAACACCGAGGCTCACAGGTCATCTGGCCAGAATGTGACAGCCAGGATTGGAACTGGGGTCTGTTTGACAGAGAGCATCAGCCTCTCTCTGAGATAACCTGTAGAGGAATCGAGTCTACCTAGGCCTGCCCAGACCTCTGTCTCAGGAGTTCTGGGGTCAGACTCAGCCTCCTCCAGCAGGCCTCCTCCCTTCCCAGCACCCAAACCACCAAGTGCGTCAAACCCTCATTCTTTTAACTGCCTCTCCTGCCCCTCCCCCACCAGCCATCCCCACGGCATCCTTACAGGGTCCCTTTGTGAACAACTCCCCTGTACCTACAGCTTCTGTGGACACAGCCCCAGCCATTCAACCACCCCTGACCCAGCCCAGGGACCCCACCCAGGGACCCCACTTCCATAGGTGCCACGGGGCACAGATTGGGCACATCGAGCTCCATACCCTACCCTCATGATGACTTTTCCACTTGCCCATTACAGGGCCTCTTTTGGGGGTCAAACCAGGCCTCCAGCCCCCGTGCCCTTCTCAGCCCTGGCACCTCCCTCTCCCCTCCCCTTCCTCTCCACTACAGTTCCCAGGAGATGTCAGGGTCCATGTCTCAGCCTCTGGACTCCTGCACCACCATGTCCCCAGGGACCCTCTGTCCGACTCCATACCAGTGCCCAGGCTCAGCCCACATGGGGGCCTTGTCATCACTCTGAATTGTGCAGACCTAGACCCCTCAAACTGCCACCTCACCCCTTTCCTGCCACCACCCTCTTCCGCCTACAACAGTGTCCCAGTTTGGATGAGGTCCCGCGGTGAGTGTCAAAAGAGAATAGAAGATGGTAACAGTAGTTTAAAAGCAGAGCGGAGTTATTTCTCGCTTACATTAAAGCAGCCCGGAGGCAGGCAGGCCAGGCTGGAGGAGGGCCTTCATATGTCACCAGGATCCTGAGCTAAATCTGTCTTGCTGCCAGAGCACCTTGAATCCCTTTCTCCTTCCTCAGAGACCAAGAGAGCGGTTCAAGCTCCATCCATCACATTTGCATTTCTGCAGCTGGAAGGTGGAGGACGGAGCAAAGAAAGGCGTGTCTCTGCCTCTTAAGGACCCTTCCCCGCATTTGCCCTGGACACTTCTTGCATCCCATTAGTGATCACTGAGTCACATGACCAACCTAGCTACAAGGAAGGCTGGGAA